ACCTGTCCCCACCACGTGGGTGCTCGCGCCGCGCGCTCTTCACCTGTTCCGAGCAGGGGCGAGCGCTCGCGCGGCGCGGCTAGAGGCGGCGCGGCTGCGCGCATTCCCGCGGCTCCAGCGGGCTGCTTTCCGTCTCTCTGCGCCTTCGGCTCGGAAATCCCACCCGGGATTCCCGCCACCCCGCAAGGTCAGCGCTCAGAAGCCCCGGCCCCGCCGGCCCCGGGCTTCAGCCCTTCAGAGCCGGCTCTCTGGGGACNGGCGATGCAGCGCAGAGAGGAGCGCGGAGGCCGAGGGGAGCTCCGGGCAGGGCCCCCCGGGGCAGAAGGGAGCAGAAAGGCGGCGGTGCCGCGATCAGGCCGAGCGGCATGGCTGGGAGCCGGGAACCTGGCGCGCGCCTCCCGCCAGTCCCCAGGCTGCGCACTGCGGGGCTATTTGCTCAGTTGCTCTCCCGCTTTCACCTTCCGCCCTCCTGGTCCCCAGGCTCCTCCGAAAGGGTTCCCGCCGCGGCCGCGGTCGCGGGCTGGCCCCAGCCCCCTCCTGGCCGGCGCGACTGGGTGAGTCAGAGGTCTCGCTGGGCCTCGCCCTTTGCTACCGGCCGCCAGCTGCCGGGTGCCAGGGAGCCGCTCCGAGCACCCCGGGGCTCGCGATCGCCCTTTTAGGGGGCTGGAGAGTCCCTATCCCTGGGCAGGTTTCAGCTCCGCGTCCCACCACGAGGAAGACCTGCCCCGCGCCCCTAGAAGTGCTGCGGCGCGGCCGGGGGCCGGGCGCCGGGAGGAGGGGGCTCTGCAGAGAGCGCGGGAGGCAGGTGTCGGAGCGGGAGCGGGTCCCATCCGGTGTCACACACACACTGACACACTCCATCCACACAGCGCTCGGGGACAGATGTGCGAACATCTGGGGTAGAAGATGGCCCCCGAGTCTTCACGACCCCTGCCGCTCATAGACTCTGAAGTTGTGTGTGCGTGTATATGTGTGTGAGTGCGTGTGCGTTTGCCAGTGTGTGCGCGCGTGCCGGCGAGTGCGCCAGCGTCCGCACACTCGCGCACCGGGCCTACCAGAGACGGTGCCTGGATACATAACACACCGTGGGCACCCTCGCCGCGCGCTCCCGAGCGTGTGCACACACAGAGCGAATCAGACAAACATACATAATTTATGCAGCCTTCAGGTCTGCGGGAGGCAATTTCATTTCACATCAAACCGGTCACTTGGAATTAAGGCAAGAGGTATTGGGGAGGCACAGGAAATCTCCCCAAGTGGGACCTGCACCCATCTCTTTGCTACGATTTGCAGCTGCCCTGAAGACCGGTTGCGGCAGAGAAGGTGCCGCGGTCAACATGTGAATCTGGATAGCAAGGGCAATCCCAAATATTCTTCCCCCCCTCAAATAAGTGGGGGGTGTGCCTGTGTTGGGGAGAATCAGAGTACCAGGCACAAACTTCCCCTTCTGTCAAAGCAGGTTCCCACTGGCCCCACCAGCGTTTGCCGTGGGGGTTGGCCCTACCCTGCAGCTCTAGCCTTGGAAGTGCCGCTGGGTAAGGGCGCTTTGAGAGGGCTTTTTCACCTTTCTCCTGTCCCTTTCCTCCATAGACGGTTTCCTCATTCTCAAGCACCTGTAGCAGCTTCCAAGAGTTTTGTCAGATTCCAGAGGCTGTTCTCAGAGGGGAGAGAGGCTCACCCTGCAAAGTGGTGTGGGGAAGGAAGAGCGAGCCCCACCATATTCCCTGAAACCAGAGATCCCTGTTCAGGGAGTGTACCCCTTGCCAGCCACCCCCCCCC